TATTAGCAACACCCTCTAACAAGAATATCCCCAGACAAAAACCCCAGTCCCCAAACCCCCCCAGCCACAACAGTGTGAATTCCTCAGGAAGGTGCTTGTCTCATCCTTCTGTTCCTCCCACTTGGTTCCAGGGAGCTAAGAAAATGCTTACCTGCCTGAGCTTGGCCTTCATAATTCCATTCCATCACAGCTCTGAGGTAATTCCCTCAGGCTGGAATAGGGCTATAGTAGTCCCCCTATCTAAGAAGAGAGATATAGAAAACCCTGCCAATTATAGTCCGTTCAGTTTGCTATCAGTCCTGGGAAAACTTTATACAAGACATTTAAAGGGAAAATTAACTTCTTACTTTATGGAGCATTCTGTTTTAACAAATGCTCAGGCTGCTTTTAGAAAAGACAGATCAAGAATTGATCAGTATTTTGGATTAGCCTATCTAGCTACTATATTTTCCTGAAAGGTAAACGTTTTGCTGCTTTTATAGATTTTAAAGCCGCTTTTGACTCTATTACCAGAACCAAACTTTGGACTAAATTAGAAAGTGTGGTTCCTGACAGGTGTCTTGCATACCTAATACAGGCACTATAAGAAAATAGTTAGTATTTAATGTAATGCAAGTTAGATGTAACAGAAATGGTTCACTTACAGACAACATTACAATGAATAAGGGAGTGAGACAAGGTTGCATTCTGGCCCCTACACTATTTAACATCTATCTCAATGATCTGGAGACCACATTACTTCAGGCTGAGGCCCATTACCCATCATTAACCAAAAGGAAAATGTGTGCCTTGTTATATGCAGATGATGCTGTTCTTCTTTCACATGCTAGATTGGGCCTGAAACACCTACTTGAGGTACTAGTTAAGTATTGCCAAGAAAATCAATTATAAATTAACTATGACAAAACTAAAATTTTGGTTTTTGAAAAAAAAGTTAAAAAGTATGGTACATCTAGAAAGTTCAAGATCATATAATAACTCAAGTAGAGAATTTTAGTTATCTGGTCATTTTATTTAACCATGCTTTAACCTGGCAACATCATTGTAAGGCAATACTTCTGAAAGCAAAATCTACTATGACGGTCTTGCTCTGATATTTTTATTCAAAAGGAGGAAGCTTTGTTCCTGAAGCAATGCAAGTTTTTAATGCCAAAATTGCATCTCAAATTTTATATGGAGCTCCAATTCGGATCACATTTGCTAATGATCACATAGCACAATTGCAGGCAAAATTTTTAAGATGTCTTAAGTGTCCCAAGCCGTGTTCCAAATTCTGTTATTCTCTTGGAAACTGGG